CGATTAGGCAATGTATCTGGCGCACTATACTTTCTTAACTTTTGTGTGCCTAATATAATATTATAACTAGCTATAGTAGTATTTTCTAAGACAATCTCCTCGTAGTGCTATTAGATAGCTAGTAGTAACGGTATCGTTGCTCGTTCTATACTAGGTAGCGGTAACCTATCTACTGCTATAAGTTTATACGCTCCTTCTCTTCTGCTTCGGGTTACGATCCCTCGGCTTTTAACGAATAATTCGGAGGCAAAGTTCCCGCTCGCTCCGGAATCTATTAATATACTCGTCGGATACCCGTTAACGATAACTTTTATACGGAAGACTGCTATTAATGCTTAAGCGCTTTCGGTATTAAGGAACTCTCTTAGAACGCTCTAATCTAGAGAGTTAGTCCGTTTCCCGACTAATTAGTAGCCTAACGTTGTTCTAACTAGTTACGGATCCGTAGTCCTGCCGTTCGTGCTTCTTCGGTATATAATTTTTCCTCGAGGGTATCGTTATATATATCCCGTCCCTGCGCTGCTATAGCCTTTCGGTATTGCTAATTTAATCGCTAGACCGTCTAACGTATATCTTAAGTAATAATCGTCCTTTCGTCGGGTAGGACGTATCCGTAGGGCGTAATTATACTTCCTATCGGTACTCGCTCCGTAATAAAGTTATAGTACGTATAGTCTATAGGTATCTAGGGGTAATTCTAGAATTTTGCCCGTAAGATTATCTAGAAATAATTAAATTAGATAGGATCGACCTTCCGTTGTCTATTAACCTTTAGAAACATTTCCTCGTATTTGCGTACTAGATATAAGGCGATTGTTCGCGCTGCTATAGGTATATCTATTGTAAACGTAAGGATCGTATCGTCGTTAATCCCGAATTCGTCTTTACTTTCTTTATTCGTAGTTTCTTCCTCGGTATCTAGACTTCCTTCTAAATCTTCTTGCTGTTCCTCCTCTTGCTAAGGGGACTCCGGTACTTCTAGGATAGCTCCTAACTCCTCCCTAGGAGGGAATAAAGCTTCCGGATCTCGGTTTTCTTTATCGTCGGTATCTAAGTAAGATTTATTAATCGTTTCTTCTTCTAACTAGGATTTCGTATCTTCTCGTACGAGTCGCCTAATCTAAGGGAAGAATCCTGCTTCTACTTTAGTAGAATAATAAATTTAGCATTAGTCGTCGTAATAGAATCTCTAGTAAAGGGTTCTATATATAGGTTCTTATCGTCGTGCTATTATATAGATTTGTCGTAGCTCTTTCTTTACGACCTCTACGTAGGTCCTCGGCGCGTTATTAATAGAGTATAGCTCTACTACTATTCGGTAGCCTTCTCTACCTAAGTCCTTTCGTTATATTATATTAAACTATTCGCGTCGCACTATATTCTTGCCGCGGTAGTTCCGTGCTATATAGCCTTCCTTACTATACGTATAGTAAGTTAATCTTCCTGCTTTCTTAGGCGAACTCTTGCCTTTTCTTCCTTTAATTGCTCGACCCTTCTAGATAGCGTCTAGCTCTATTAGTTGCGTACTATAGTAGTTGTTCCCCTTTAGTTTATCGTAGGTACTATAGTTTCGTCTATTATCGTATCTAGGAGTATAACTAGCTTTTCTAGAAGTCTTAGAATCGTAACGTCGTTCTAAAGCTCGTTCGTAGAGCCTATCGTCGAGATCGATCGTAACCTTAACTAATGTTCCTATATTATCTATTTTTCTACCGTCGCGTATAAGCTTATCTTTAACGTTATCCTTAAGACCTCGCCGATACATTGTTATAAGAGCTTCGTCGTCCTAATCTATAAGTTAGGCGTATTCCTAAAATTTAGCGGCGTAATCGGTATATAACCCCTTCTAAGTTAAGTATTAGATAACCCTAACTGCGGTAGCAACTTCGTTAGAAGATCTAAAGACCTTCTTTATCGTACGCTTAAGATTTTCGTAGCTTACGAAGATTCTATCCGAATTGTCGGTCCCGTTACTATCTAGATAGGTCCTAAGAAATAGTTTAACCTAATGCTAAGCCCTACCTCGCATAAACGTCGTTACGAAGACTAGCTTTAAGTTATCTTAAACCTAGTTAAATATGAAATACATATCTATCTAGCTAACCTAGGTATCGAACTTGTCTCGGTCGCCGTAATAAAAGTCTAGCTTTCCGATCTTAAGAGAATCGTTTCCGGTATAGGTTCCTAGTGTATTACTAGCACTAGAGGTAGTACGTCGAGTACTGCCTATCTCGCTAGGGGCGGGAGTTCCCCTTCCGACTTATAATAAGGTACTTATCCTAAGGGCGTTTAAAGTGTTACGGTTACTCGCGACAGATCGTTAAGTAACTTCTTATTACGTACAAGCCGAGGCTTCTTTAGAGAGGCTAATATAAGCGGGAGGTAGAGACAGAATAATTAGTACAAAGGTAATTCCAATTAGTAAGTAGGTAACATAAGTTAAACGCCTCGAGCTATAAGGGCATTCCGGCGTTCCTAAATACAAAGGAGATATCTTGTCTATAGTCGTAAGCGACGTAAGCGACGCTATCGCTCTCGACCGCTCCTATCGCTCCTAGTAAGATAGAGCGACAGCTTAGCCTACTAGTCTTAGCGTCGCTCTAAGATTATATAAGGACTCTAACTAATTAGATCCGTAACAACTAGCAGAGCCTATAGGCTAACTCGCTTATAGCGCCTCTTTATCGATTATACTAATAGCTACTTAATCGGCTTCTAACTAAGCCTCTAACCTCGCCTTCCTTCGAGCGGATTTACTCGCCTTACGGTTAAGTAGCTATAGCGTATTTAGTAGAGGTATCTTACCTTAAAGAGCGGTAAGATACTAAGTAATAGGTTAAGGTATTATCGTCTGTCGCTTAGTCGATAGAGCGACTAGTTTACTACGCTTATTATAGATAAGCTAGCTATTAGAAGGTCTATAGAAATAGCTAAAGTTAATATTATTACTAGGCGGCTAAATAGCGCTCGGTAGTTATAGAGTCGGTATAGGGGTTAGAGACTAGGAAATAGCTATAAAGGCGACTAACGAGGGTCTTAAGAAGCTATTCTCGTAAGACATTATTGCTAGCAACTAATATACTAATCTATTTTATAGTAATAGTCGACGCGACGCGTAGGAGGCTAGAAGCCCGAAGTTAGTACCTGCGGCTAATTCTACTATACTAAGCTATATTTACTTACTTAGCGACCTAATCCGGCACTGGAGCGGCCGCTCTAGCGCTGGAGCGGCAGCTGAAGGTAACACGTGCACGCGCACTGTTCACTTCCTTATTAGGCCGCCCTAGTCTACATTAGGGGCTAGAGCGGCACCTGGAGCGGCATCAAAAGGCGTGGCGAAATCCGTCTATTCCCGCGCGTCACTCGGTCTGCGCTTGCGATGAACAACTCGGAGGAAACGGTCCGTCCTGATAGCCCAGTGGATCTGAGACATCCCGACTGAGTGAATGAACGCCAACGACCTGGACTGCCGGCTATGATCTATCGACGACTTGAGCTCTTCCGGATCATCAATCTCCAGTAAGGCCTACGCTTTGGGCAGACCATTTCTTGCCGCTTTATCAGCCATCTCTGAGCCTTAACGTAACCGAGTCTCTACAAGCGCGGACGATACACAGAAGACCTAGTATTGCTGGCTCACTCTTGGACTCATATGTGACTTCTTTACGACAGCAGTTCCCGCCCAGAACAATTCGACAGTCAACATGGCATCAGTCGACGCAGTACCCAGCACAGTCGAAGATGACCGGCCACCATCAATCGTGTACGGGCCAGCAACACCCGTCCCTCTCACTATGACATTCAGCGAGCTTCTCGATCATCATGCTGAAGTGCGCGGACATCGCCCAGCTGTAATTTCGCATCCACAGAAAGGACGAATTATCACTTTCAAACAGCTCCGGGAGCGCAGCATGCAGCTTGCTCGCGCAATGGCCAAAGATGGCATTGGCAAAGGCGACCTTGTGGCAATTTCGCTAGGAAGCAGATTCGAGTATTTCGAAACCTTCTTTGCTTGCACATATCTCGGAGCAGCTCTAGTCCTGTTGAACTATGCCTACGCCGAATCAGAAATGCTCGCGCTTTTAAAGAACGTTCGTAAGTACTTCTTGGTTGATCTCGACAGGATTTTTGTCAGATATGTTGACCTCAAATGGCAGAACCGAAGATGATGGTCGCTTCGCCGGGATTCGCCTTCTACGATAATACAAAGGTTCTACCAAAGCTTGCCAAGGAAGTGCCTTCGATTGTGAGATTAGTCATTATGGAAGACATCGAGCAAAAGTATCGTATAGTCGAGCCTCTCGAACGAAGTGCTTGGTACGAGGAGTACATCTCTCAAGATCTGCCTGAAGAGTTACCCGAGGTCTCAGTTTCACCTCACGACATGGTCAACGTGCAGTTCACGTCGGGTATGAAATCTGAAAGTCTTGTTGCATTCAACGGTATGCTGACGTAAATTACAGGTAGCACCGGGCTCCCCAAGTCTGTTTCGCTCTCTCATTACAACATCATGAATTGTGGTCGGTATCTCTGGCAACAGGTACGGATGACCGATGAGGATCGTGTTTGTCTTCCCGTGCCGCTTTTCCATTCCTTCGGCATGATTGTTGGTAAGTGAAAATTTGCATTGCACCAAGTTGAGTTCGTGGGAATGACAGTCAATGATGCAATTAAACAGGTATCAGCTCAAGCACGGTGGCTGGCTCAGCGCTCGTCTTACCTAGCGAGATCTTCAACTCAAGAAAGGCTCTGCAATGCATCCAGGAGTATAGATGTACAGCTATTTACGGTGTGCCCACTATGTTTGTGACTGAGATGGAATTGAAAGAATTCGAATCAGTCGATCGGTATGCTTTCCAAAGCCACTTCGATATGCTCTACCCTATTCTCAAGACATGCTAATCTTGCACAGATCTACTATCAGATTTGGCATTATTGCTGGAGCAGCGATGCCACCAGAATTGCTGAAGCGAATCGTACGTGATTAGATCTTCTGATTGCACCAAACCACTGACAGCGATGTCTATAGGTCACGAGGTTCCCAGTACCACGACTATACACATGCTGGGGCATGACAGAACTGAGCTCGTTTGTTACTATGATGCACGAAACCGATCCCTACGAAAAGCGTATCAAGACAGCTGGCAGACTATTCCCCAACTTCGTTGCGAAGATCGTGGAACCGAACACAGGCAAGGTCGTGCCATGGGGAGAGAAGGGCGAAATTGTGGCGAGCGGCTACGGGTAAGTTTTTTCCAACTGGTCATTATGCGCGCGAAATTTCTGATCTGATGTTGTGCTCAGGCAAATGGCAGAGTATATCGGTAACAAGGCTAAGACTGAAGAAACGCTGCGGTACCATGTCGAAGACTTGGAGCCAGGCGGAGTGGGAGGACTTGGCGATGGGTAAGTAAGATTTGAAATCGCAAGCAATTGCAACATCTCTCTCCTGAAAATCGAAGACTGACATCTACACAGGACTGTACTCAGAAAGTGGATGCATACGGGTGACGAAGGCTATCTAGATCCCGAAGGCTATTTCATCATCTCCGGCCGCATCAAGGACCTGATCATTCGTGGAGGCGAGAACATTGCTCCCATGGAGATCGAAGACAGGATTGTGGAACACGAAGCCATCGCTCAAGTGTCAATCGTCGGCGTCCCAGACGAGAAATATGGCGAGGAGCTGGGAGCGTTCGTGGAGCTTCGAGAGGGTGCAACGAAGCCCAGTGACGATGAGCTTCGAGCTTTCGTGAGGGAGAAACTTGCGAGGTTCAAGGCGCCGCGATACTTCTTCTGGCTACGAGATGGTAAGGCGCCGGATCAGTGGCCACAGACTGCGAGCGGGAAAATCTCGAAACCGGATCTGAGGAAGCTGGTTGAGAAGTTGATATCGTAGTAGTTGATTTGTTTTCCGAATCGGCAATGTTAGAAATGCCTCGAATGCGGAAATTTGCTTGCAATTCTTTCCATTGCGTGACTCTAGTAGTCCCACATTTGCAGGTGTCGTTCAATCTAGCATACGGAGTGAGGAACACGGCGATGGATGCCGTTCCCACATTGCTTGCATCGCGTGAGTGAATAAAGCCCGTCTCGCCTTGGCGCGGCACGAGATGCCTGCTTCTTTTTCCGCTCTCGCTCGCTCGCTCGCTACCGCTCCGAAATTCGGTAATGTCTCCGCTTGCTTTCTCCAGTTGCTACTGTATCATGCAGCCTTCACGGTGACCTCGGGTTCTGTGGGGCCCCGCCAATGCATGGCGGGTGGACCTTTGGTACCACTGTAAGGCGCGGAGCTGTCAACAACCTCTTGCTGTTCAATATCATCATCTCTGCACAGATCTGTCGAAATGCCAGACACATATGGAGCCAAGATCGTTGCTCAGTCGCTACATGATCTCGGCGTGAAGATAATCTTTGGAACTCCTGGACTTCCTGTGACAGATATCGCTCAAGAAGGCCTGTACCTTGGCATACGCTTCATAAGTTTCCGAAATGAGCAGGCTGCTGTATATGCTGCCACGGCCTATGGCTACCTGACCGGCAAGCCCGGCGTATGCATATCAGTTGGCGGACCAGGAATGCTACATGTCTTTGCCGGGGTATGCAATGCACTCGACAGTAGGCAGAGCAGTAGTGAATGCTGATGCTCAGTAGGTACCACATGCAGCTGCCAATAGTTGGCCATTACTTGTGCTCTCAGGAGCAAGCGAGACACACAATGCCGGCAAAGCAGCTTTCCAAGAAATCGATGCAATCCCAATCATGCGACCTCACGCAAAGTTCGCAGGTCGTCCTCCAACTCCCGACGCAATACCAAGATTCATCAAGGATGGCTACAGAGCGGCTCTCTTCGGACGACCTGGTCCTTCGTTCATCGATCTTCCGGCTAATCTGATTCTCGGAACTTTCGATGTCGAGAGGAATAAGCTGCCTCTGCTTGATCAAGTTCCTCTCTCAGTGGCACCGGATTTTAAGATCCGTGAAGTTGTGAGCGCTATCAAAACTGCGAAAGCACCACTTGTGGTTATCGGTAAAGGGGCTGCATATGCTCGTGCTGAAGGGCCTATCAATGCATTAGTCGACAGGACCGGTATCCCATTTGTGCCTACACCGATGGGTAAAGGTGTAATTCCGGACTCGAGTCCCAACAACTTCTCCGCGGCACGATCAGCAGCACTGAAAGAAGCGGACGTCGTCCTCGTGCTCGGTGCCAAACTCAACTGGATCCTCTCATTCGGTCTGGCACCTAAGTGGAATGCAAATGCAAAAGTCATCCAGGTCGATATTACAGCAGATGAGCTTGGCCAGAATGGGGGTCATCCGACACTGAGCATGGTTGGCGATGTTGGTCTTGTTGTAGAGCAAATCACGAACGCACTCGGCAGCTGGCGATGGGAAGGCAAATCTACCGACTTCTATCGCAAATTGCAAGCCGCCAAGTCCAGGAACGAAGAGAAGGCTGCAAAGAAAGCTTCATCAAACAAGGTGCCAATGCCGTTCGAGAAGGCATTCGGCGTGATCAAGAAGACTCTCAACAGCTTATCAAATCCTGCGGATGGCGATATCGTGTATGTTTCCGAAGGTGCAAACGCCATGGATATCTCGCGATCGATCTTCACAATGGAACATCCTCGGATTCGTCTAGATGCTGGGACTTATGCAACCATGGGCGTGGGCTTGGGTTACTGCATTGCGGCACATGCTGCCTACAACATGACCGGCGAAGGCAAGGCTGGAGCTTCGGGCAGGAAGAAAGTTGTCGCCATCGAGGGAGACAGTGCGTTTGGTTTCTCCGGTATGGAAGTGGAAACCATGGCTAGGTACCAGATGGATGTGCTCATCTTCATCATGAACAACAGCGGCTTATACCGAGGCGATACGAATTCGAGCGAGGCATGGAACGAGAGGCGAAAGAACACAGTCGAGGGGACGACGACGGGTGGAGCTGGACTCACGGCGTGGTCTCTCGGATATCAGACTGATTACCAGAAGATTGCGGAGATGGCGGGTGGTATTGGGATCTTGGCTCGAACGCCTGAAGAGCTCGTCGCTGCCACGGAGACGGGTTTCAAAGCGAACGTTCCAGTCGTGGTGAACGTCATCATCGATCCTCAAGCCGATCTGCCCATGGTAAGTCCGAATACACTTGTCTTGAATTTTACCCCGTGATACTGACTTTACACAGGACTTCTCCTGGCTCGATATGGCACCGCCAACGAAGGGCAAGACAGAAGCCAAGCTGTAAATGCGCCTGGATATAGAAGCATCAAATCTCGTCGTTGGCGCCAGAGAAGAGGAGAGCAGTATGAAACTCCCATGATAGCTGGACGTACGGCTTATGCCATTATCACGGTGGCCGGGTGTGTGACGAGCAATGACCTGGGCTTTGGGTGAGTGAATGTTGCTTTCCTTCGCCTGGGGCGCGAAGAACGGGCACGTGATGTGATAGCGAGGTGATTGTATGGAAACGACACTCAGTGCAAATTTTCCAGATCCATGCTCTCTTCAAAGCCCATGAGATGTCGGTATATCATGTACGCATTCTCATATTCATCAGAGGACTTCAATCCGAAAACTTGGAATATCGGTAACCTCACTGTCGCCAAGATTTACCCTACTGTAAGCACGCGGGAGCTCATGGTCTTGGCGCTGTCCATATTCTGTAGGATGAACTCGCGTTCTCAATTTCACCCTCCTTCATCGACATCGCAACAAGACTCCACCGCGCCGAGTTTCTACACCAACGCATGGTCGCTCTGATGAAGTACACAGAAAGAGACGGATGGGCAAAGAGCTGTAAGGGTTGATAACGAATGGACACCACAAGCATGCGCACAAACACTGCAGCAGAAGCAACAGAAGTGCGACCGGCCTGCACCTCGCAGCTACTCCACCAGAGTTCTGTGTGCTGGTTGTCGCAGGCGCATCAGTCACGGTCGCCGATGGCGCTGCAGTTGTCTGAAATGCCGTCGGCACAGAGCCTCCGCCGAAAGTTTCAACCGCCGTCGAGCTTGCAAAACATGTGCTTGCGACTCCACCGGTGCTCGCCGTCGCGTCGGTCGTGGTAATCAGCGACGACCTACCCGAGCCTGTGACGGATGCAGTCGAATGTGCAGGAGTGGCAGTCGCATGGCCTGGAGGCGGCGGGCCGGTATACGTCGCATTGAAAGAAGACCCAGCTTTGAGAACGCTCGAAGGCATCGGTGCAATACTCACGCTCGCACTCGAGCAGCCTTCCTTGTTTCCATTTCCGGGATAACTGGCGTCGAGGTCATATGCTAGCTGACACCAGTAACATCTGGCGACGACATTTGGCTCGATTCGTCGAGTTGCAATAGGTAGCCGAATGCTTACGCTTCGTTGACTGCGACATAACCATTCGTACACAAGCATTTGTACCACGGATTTAGCTTGTCGATGTCATTGTCGTACGCGTTGCATCTGAACGAAATGCTTATTCATCTCAATGCTAACTCTCTATCGATGGATGGACTCACTGGCTGTATAGGTCGTTTCCGATGCTGCAAATGGCTCCATCGCCATAGCAAAAACCCAGACGATCAAGCTGTGAATCCTGGCGTTTCTCGACGCCCTGCGCCTGCGCCTGCGCCTTCGAGTCGAACACCAACACCAAAACGAGAGTAAAGAATCGAAACATGGCAGTCTCGCGCGCTTCGAAGCTGCCGGAAAGAGTGACGCTGTGTTTATACAGCACAGTTCAGATGTTCAGAGGACAATGACCTGCCTCGCTCGTCACAGCGCCTATGGCCCAGGCACATCGACTCTGCCTCATATTTGAGGATCACCATGGCCAAGAGGATCGGCCAATTTCGAAAGCAAGCCACAGCTGTTTCTTGCCAATCGCAGTCAAGCTTTCAGGGGTTTGAAAGCCCAAAAATGGATCGTGAAATTCAGCTGAGTCCGGAAAACTGCATAGCCTGTCACGACAAGGGAAAGCGACTTGCTACATTGGCTTGGCAATGCTATACAGAAAGACCGAAAATACATACAGGATGCCGACCGGAGACAAAATTGCGAATCCTGCTTCTCCTCCCCTTTGAATAATGTTCGAAATCTTGACGATGCACTGCTTAGCTGAATTCGAATTCCGAACAGAAGCGCTATACAGCGGCTTCTTGTATCGCAAGCCTGGTCACAGCCCGTATACCGCATTATCAACTTGCACTCTAGGCGCCTTCGGACTTGCACTTATTGAGAAGAGCAGAACAGCACTAAGCGCAGCTTCTAGCATCATCATCGCTACAAACGCACTGTGGATCCGATGACCTATCAAGATGTTAAGAACTGTTCGACAATTCGCAAATACGCTACGCTACTTACTGATACTTGTGGTAGCGATGCTTGAAACCGGCGCATTCTCTTTGACAAGCTTGACCACTAGTCGGAACGACACAGTTTGGACCTTCAATTTGTATACATCCATAAGCTCCTTGGTTTCCGCAGTGGCCCATATCTCGGCAAAGACATTGACTTCCAGATGTTGTTGCCCATACGTTCAATGCGAAGGCGATAGTAGCAGCGAAGGTGATAAGTGTAGGCCGCATATTGTTCTTGTTGTGTAGTTCACGATGTTGACTGTAGAGGTTAGGTTGTCTATAATATTGTCTATCTCTATAATATGACAACTCAACAAAAGTTGGGGCCCCTTTAGGCTTAGTGCGGCTCAAAACGACCGAAAAGCCGACTCTGATTGGTCGGCGGCGAGGAACTTCAAAATTTCTCGATTCTCGCGCGGTCCGGAAGGCGTAGGAGTCGTAGGATCGACTATAACGCTCCGGCGCCGCGATAGCAGTGTTTCCGAGGCCGTCTCCGTCGTTTACGCCTAATCCGGCGGCGTTTTTTACTCGAGGCGGTATCGTTTACGCCTAATCCGGCGGCATTTGCTCGGAGCGGTAGGCTCGAAAGGCTTATCCTACGCGTTCCGGATAGTACTACTCGCTATAGGCGTTTTATAAGGTACTTATAGTAGGCGTTAGATAAGGTACTCGCTATAAATAGTTCGAATCCTATTTAACTATAGGCGTTTTAGATAGTATTTGCTATAAGCGTTTCGGATAGTAGGACTACTCGCTATAGCTATCTCGGACAGTTACCGCTATAAGCGTTTCGAATATTACTACTCGCTATAAGCGTTTTTAGTAGTATTTACTATAAGCGTTTCGGATTAGACTTGCTATAAGTATTCTAAATAGGACTTACTATAGGTATTTTAGATAGTACTACTTGCTATAAGCGTTCTTAATAGTACTTGCTATTTGCGTTCCGAATTAGACTTACTATACGCGTTCCGGATAAGACTTAGTATAAGCGTTTCGGATTAGAATTGCTATATAGTGCGTTCTAAATAAAACTTAGTATAGGCGTTATAGATAGTAGTACTAACTATTAGCGCTCCGGATTAGAGTTATTAGACTTACTATACGCGTTCTAAATAGTACTTAGTATTATAAGCGTTCTGAATTAGACCTATTATAGGCGTTATAGATAATAGTTAGCTTATCCTACGCGTTCCGGATAGTACTACTCGCTATAGATATTCTATAGAGTACTCGCTATAGGCGTTATATAGGGTACTCGCTATAGATAGTTCGAATGCTATTTAACTATAGGCGTTTTAGATAGTATTTGCTATAAGCGTTCCGGATAGTACTACTCGCTATAGGCCTTCTAGATAGTACTTCGTATAATTATTTAGTTTCGGATTAGACTTAGACTTACTTTATACATTCCGGATAAGACGTTCTATAAGCGTTTCGGATTAGACTTGCTATACGCCTTCCGGTTTATACTGTACTAAGCGTATAAAATAAGGCTTGTCCTACGCGTTCCGGATAGTACTACTCGCTATAGATATTCTATAGAGCACTCGCTATAGGCGCCCTATAGGATACTCGTAGTAGGCGTTATATAGGGTACTTACTATAGGTAGTTCGAATACTATTTCCTATAGGCGTTTGAAATAGTATTTACTATAAGCGTTTCGGATATAATATAGTACTTCTTGCTATAAGTATTCTAAATAGTACTTACTATAGGCACTTTAGGTAGTACCGCTTGCTATAAGCGTGCTTAAATTTTAATAGTACTTGCTATTAGCGTTGCGAATTAGACTTGCTATATACGTTCCGGATAGTGCTTACGCTACGCGTTCCGGATTAGACTTAGTAGAAGCGTTCCGGATTAGAATTACTATATAGCGCGTTTTAAATAAAACTTAGTATAGGCGCTATAGATAGTAGTACTAACTGTTAGCGCTCCGGATTAGACTTACTATATACGTTCCAAATAGTACTTAGGATTATAAGTGTTCTAAATTGAAATTCCTATATTTATAGAGTACTCGTAGTAGGCGTTATATAGGGTACTCGCTATAGGTAGTTCGAATACTGTTTAGCTTTAGGCGTTTTAGATAGTCTTTACTATAGGCGATCCGGATAGTACTGCTCGCTATAGATATCTTAAATAGTTACCGCTATAAGCGTTTCGAATGTTACTACTCGCTAGTAGTATTTACTATAAGCGCTTCCGATATAAGTTCATATAACTTGCTATTAGTATTCTAAACAGTACTTACTATAGGTATTTTAGATAGTACTACTTGCTATAAGCGTTCTTAGCAGTACTTCGGATTAGACTTGCTATACGCGTTCCGGTTTATATCGGACTAACTATACTAAGCGTTTAAAATAAGGCTTGTCCTACGCGTTCCGGACAGTACTACTTGCTATAGGTATTCTATAGAGTGCTCGCTATAGGCGTTCTCTAAGGTACTCGTAGCAGGCGTTATATAGGGTACTCGCTATAGGTAGTTAAAATACTGTTTGCTATAGGCGTTTTAGATAGTGTTTGCTATAAGCGTTCCGGATAGTACTACTTGCTATAGATATCTCGGATGATATAGTTACCGCTACAAGCGTTTCGAATATTACTACTCGCTATAAGCGCTTTTAGTAGTATTTGCTATAGGCGTTTCGGTTCAACTTTTGGATTAGACTTGCTATACGTATTCTAAATAGCACTTGCTATAGGTACTTTAGATAGTCCTACTTGCTATAAGCGTTCTTAGTAGTACTTGCTATTAGCGTTCCGGATAGTCTTACTCTACGCGTTTCGGATAAGACTTAGTATAGGCATTTCGGATTAGAATTGCTATATAGCGCGTTTTAAATAGAGGTATTTTAGATTAGACCCGCTATACGCGTTCCGGTTTATATAGGCCTAAATATACTAAGCGTTTAAAATAAGGCTTATCCTACGCGTTCCGGATAGTACTACTCGCTATAGGTATCCTATAGAGTACTCGCTATAGGCGTTTTATAAGGTACTCGTAGTAGGCGTTATATAGGGTACTCGCTATAAATAGTTCGAATACTATTAAACTATAGGCGTTTTAGATAGTATTTGCTATAGGCATTCCGGATAGTACTACTCGCTATAGATATCTTAGACGGTTGCCGCTATAAGCGTTTCGAATATTACTACTCGCTATAATCGGGTTTAGTAGTATTTACTATAAGCGTTTCGGATATAACTTGCTATAAGTATTCTAAATAGTACTTACTATAGGTAATTTAATAGTACTACTTGCTATAAGCGTTCTTAATAGTACTTGCTATTAGCGCTCCGGATTGGACTTACTATACGCAATCCGGATAGTACTACTCGCTATAAGCCTTCCGGATAGTACTTAATATAAGTATTTAGTTTCGGATTAGACTTAGATAGTTAGACTTGCTCTATATATTTCAGATAAGACTTTCTATAAGCGTTTCGGATTAGACTTGCTATACGCGTACCGGTTTATATAGAACTAACTATACTAAGCGTTTAAAATAAGGCCTGTCCTACGCGTTCCGGATAGTACTACTGCTATAGATATACCGTATTATATAGAGTGCTCGCTATAGGCGTTTTATAAGGTACTCGTAGTAGGTGCTATACAGGCTACTCGCTCTAAGTAGTTCGAATGCTGTTTGCTATAGGCGTTTTAGATAGTATTTGCTATAAGCGTTCCGGATAGTACTACTCGCTATAGGCCTTCCGGGTAGTACTTAGTATAAGTACTTAGTCTTAGATTGGACTTCGACTTACTTTATATATTCCGGATAAGACTTTCTATAAGCGTTTCGGATTAGACTTGCGTATAGTATACGCCTTCCGGTTTATATCGGACTAACTATACTAAGCGTTTAAAATAAGGCTTGTCCTACGCGTTCCGGATAGTACTACTCGCTATAGATATCTTAGATAGTTACCGCTATAGGCGTTTCGAGTATTACTACTCGCTATAGGCGTTTTTAGTAGTATTCACTATAAGCGTTTCGGATATAACTTGCTCTAAGTATTATAAATAGTACTTACTATAGGTATTTTAGAAAGTACTACTTACTATAAGCGTTCGTAATAGTACTTACTATTACCGTTCTAAATTAGACCTACTATACGCGTTCCGGATAGTACTTACTCTACGCGTTCCGGATAAGACTTAGTATAAGCGTTTCGGATTAGAATTACTATATAGCGCGTTCTAAATAAAACTTAGTATAGGCGTTATAGATAGTAGTACTAACAGGTAGCGCTCCGGATTAGACTTACTATACGCCTTCTTAATAGTACTTAGTATTGTAAGCGTTCTAAATTAGACCTATTATAGGCGTTATAGATGATAGTTAGCTTATCCTACGCGTTCCGGATAGTACTACTCGCTATAGATATTCTATAGAGTACTCGTAGTAGGCGTTATATAGGCCCTATAGGGTATTCGCTATAAATAGTTCGAATGCTATTTAACTATAGGCGTTTTAGATAGTATTTGCTATAAGCGTTCCGGATAGTACTACTCGCTATAGGCCTTCCGGATAGTGCTTAGTATAAGTATTTAGTTTCGGATTAGACTTAGTCTTACTTTATACATTCCGGATAAGACTTTCTATAAGCGTTTCGGATTAGACTTGCGTATAGTATACGCCTTCCGGTTTATATCGGACTAACTATACTAAGCGTTTAAAATAAGGCTTGTCCTACGCGTTCTATATAGTACTACTCGCTATAGGTATTCTATAGAGTACTCGCTATAGGCGTCTTTAGTGGTATTTTCTATAGGTGTTTCGGATATAACTTGCTATAGGTATTCTAAATAGCACTTACTATAGGTATTCTAAATAGCACTTACTATAGGTATTTTAGATAGTCCTGCTTGCTATAGGCGTTCTTAGTAGTACCTGCTATTAGCGTTCCGAATTAGACTTACTATACGCGTTCCGGATAGTATCTACTCTACGCGTTTCGGATAAGACTTAGTATAGGCGTTTCGGATTAGAATTGCTATATAGCGCACTTGCTAATAGTACTAACTATTAGCGCTCCGGATTAGACTTGCTATACGCGTTCCGAATAGTACTTACTAAGTTACTATTATAAACGTTCTAAATCAGACTTTCTATAGGCGTTATAGATAGTAGTTAGCTTGTCCTACGCGTTCCGGATAGTACTACTCGCTATAGGTATTCTATAGAGTACTCGCTATAGGCGTTTTATAGGGTACTTAGAGTAGGCGTTATATAGGGTACTCGCTATAGATAGTTCGAATGCTGTTTACTATAGCCTATAGGCGTTTTAGATAGTATTTGCTGTGGGCGTTCCGGATAGTGCTACTCGCTATAGATATCTCGGATAGTTACCGCTATAAGCGTTTCGAATAATACTACTCGCTATAAGCGTTTTTAGTAGCATTTACTATAGGCGTTTCAGATATAACTTGCTATAAGTATTCTAAATAGTACTTACTATAGGTATTTTAGAAAGTACTACTTGCTATAGGCGTTCTTAGTAGTACTTACTATTAGCGTTCTATTTTAGACTTACTATACGCGTTTCGGATAGTACTTACTATACGCGTTCCGGATAAGACTTAGTATAGGCGATCCGTATTAGAGTTACTATATAGCGCGTTCTAAATAAAACTTAGTATAGGCGTTATAGATAGTAGTACTAACTGTTAGCGCTCCGGATTAGACTTACTATACGCGTTCCGAATAGTACTTAGTATTATAAGCGTTCCAAATTAGAATTCCTATAGTTGTTTTCGATTAAAGTTGCTATAAGCGTTTTGAATTAGACTTACTATACGCCTTGTAGGCAGTACTTGCTATAAGTGTTCCGACTCGGAAAGAACTACTTACTATAGATATTTCGAATAGTACTCGCTATAGGTATTCCGGATAGCAATTACTATAGGCGCATTCCGGCTCGCTATAGGCGTTTTTTAGGGCACTCGTAGTAGGCGTTATATAGGGTACTTGCTATAAATAGTTCGAATACTATTTAGCTATAGGCGTTTTAGATAGTATTTGCTATAAGCGTTCCGGATAGTACTACTCGCTTTAGGCCTTCCGGGTAGTACCTAATATAAGTATTTAGTTTCGGATTAGACTTAGACTTACTATATATATTCCGGATAAGACTTTCTATAAGCGTTTTAAATTAGACTTGCTATACGCGTTCCGGCCTATATAGGACTAACTATACTAAGCGTTTAAAATAAGGCTTATCCTACGCGTTCCGGATAGTACTACTCGCTATAGGTATTCTATAGAGTACTCGCTATAGGCGTTTTATAAGGTACTCGTAGTAGGCGTTATATAGGGTACTTAGCGCTCGCTATAAGCAGTTCGAATACCTATAAGCGTTTCGGATTAGACTTGCTATACGCGTTCCGGTTTATATAGAACTAACTATACTAAGCGTTTAAAATAAGGCTTGTTCTACGCGTTCCGGATAGTACTACTCGCTATAGATATCTTAGATAGTTACCGCTATAGGCGTTTCGAATATTACTACTCGCTATAGGCGTTTTTAGTAGTATTTACTATAAGCGTTTCGGATATAACTTGCTATAAGTATTCTAAATAGTACTTACTATAGGTATTTTAGAAAGTACTACTTACTATAAGCGTTCGTAATAGTACTTACTATTACCGTTCCGAATTAGACCTACTATACGCGTTCCGGATAGTACTTACTATACGCGTTCCGGATAAGACTTAGTATAAGCGTTTCGGATTAGAATTACTATATAGCGCGTTCTAAATAAAACTTAGTATAGGCGTTATAGATAGTAGTACTAACTATTAGCGCTCCGGATTAGACTTACTATACGCGTTCCGAATAGTACTTAGTATTATAAGCGTTCTAAATAAGAATCCCTATAAGTGTTTTAGATTAAAATTACTATAGGCGTTTTAGATTAGACTTAGTATCCGCCTTATAGGTAGTACTTACTATACGCCTTATAGGTAGTACTTACTATAAGCGTTCTAACTCGGAAAGAACTACTTACTATAGATATTTCGAATAGTACTCGCTATAGGTATTCCGGATAGTAATTACTATAGGCATATTCCGGAAGTAGTTACTATAGATATTTAAGACTATCTTGCTATAAGCGTTCCTAATAGTGCTCGCTATAAGCGTTTCTAAATAGTGCTTTCTAATATCTATAATGCGTTCCGGATTAATATTACTTTTTAGTATTAGCGTTTTAGATATAACTTACTATACGCGTTTTAGATTAGGCCTACTATAGGCGTCTAGATAAGACTTTAGCTACTCGTCGCCTTAGGCTTCTCGTATGGCTCTTCGAGCTACATAAGCCCTAGTATTATATACTAACTATTAAAAGCTGGCGATCGTAAGAAGAGCTATGTATTTGTACTCGCATCCGGAAAAATAACAGTTCACTACCGATGTAATAGAGTTGTTGGATCTTAAAATGGACTTCTATCCCTAACCACTTCCCCGAGCTACAGCCTAGCGACTAGGTCTCGCACGCTAGACACATACCCTCGTCCAACACCCGTGTAGTAGCGTCCCCTGCCCGAGCAGCAGCTTTTTAACTTAATATAGGCACAATCTGCTTTGTCTACTATTAGACGAAGCAGCAGTATAGTAGTGTTTTTTAAAGTAGCTACGTCCGTATAACGTCTATATATTAGTATATACCGTAGGGGATTAACTAACGTAATAGATAGAATATACTAGAAGCGGCTCTATAGGTATAAAACGCAGGTATCTAAACCGTTTAAAAACGTTACTTTAAACCTTACTAGTTTCTCTAAGCGAGCTAACTATATTATAAGAATCTAATACCTCCTAGACCCCGAAGTAGTTCGCTTTACGAACTATAGAACGTATATAGTTTAGTTTCTTAGCGGCAAACTAGCTCTCTTGTTCCGGTTTAGTTTCTTTAAACTATATAGTTTCCTACTTAGAACTAGAGACTATATTAGTTTTACCACAAGTATACTATACGATTACTATAGTAACTAATAGTATAATATAAAGGGCTTAGTTTAATAACCTAACTATACGATACGAGTTCTCGAATAAGGCTCTAGTTATCGGTTTATACTTTAACTACGTAGGAAGTAAATAGTTCCTAGTAGTAGGGACCGTATATAAAGTTATATAAGTAGTCTAGATTATATAACGATATCCTTTAGGGTACTCGGAGTATAAAATAAGAATCTCTTATATATAGTATAGATTTAAACTAATTTTTTATTATTTTAATAGAGTATTATATAAGAAGTTAAAAAGATTAAATTTTCTTTTATTTTTATATAAAGAAGCATTAGCTACCTTACCTAAAATAGAAGGTATACCCCTTTTATATAAGCTAAGGGGATATATAACGCGTTAGCTTAGTTATATAACTATTATATAACTTCTTAATAGACATCGAACAAGCCTTTCCTATCGTCTATAGCCTCGAGACGGCCGGTACCTAGATTCGTTTGCGCTTTAAGACCCTCGACTAGGCCTTCGAATATTAGGGAGGACTAAGTAGTCTTCCTAAGAGCCTTATTAACTTCGCCTAGGCTAGTAAGATATTCGAGACTTCAAAATGGCAGCGAACAATCAGAGACGAAGGGAAGATAGTTAAGAAGGAAGGGAGGACGAATAGAAAGCACTATATACTAGGGCAGAGGAGGTACTAAAGGCGGAAGATAGAAGAACCCCTAAGAGGGCATATAGGATAATAATCTCAGAACTCCTTAGAGGACTGAAAGCAATCTATAACTAGGCAAGCTACGTAATTACAAAGGTAGCTAATATAGTCGCAGCAAAGATTACGAAGAAATAATAGGAGACAAGCCTAAACTACCGTACCTAGGCAGCAGTAGCTAGTTAGGAGGCGCTAAAACCCCCGAGGACAGTAGTTAGAGTCTACATTACGGACCTATAGGAGTAAAAGGAAATCTAAGGACTTATAGGGAAAGAGATTGTAGAAAGAATTACAGTTAAAGAGGTAATTAGGGCTAGGAACGAAGGTAAAGGGGTAATTAAGCTGTTTATAGTATAAGAGTAGGACAAAAAGAAGCTAGAAATACAAAAAGAATAGACAACTAAGATAGGGAAAATAGTAAAGGTCTCCTAACAGCAGTTTATAATTATAGCCTATAGTATAACAAGAAGCTTTAAGGAAGAACGGGATGTTAAGAGCCTATAGAGACAAAACTAAGCTACATACCTAGGCCTAAAGATTATAAAAGTGGTATAGATCAAAAGGAAAATCGAAGAGACTAAGAAGCAGTCTTCCCTAATTATCTAGGTAGGGAGTGCAGAGCAAGCTAATATAGTGCTAGACTAGGGGTTGTTCTAGGACTTTAAAAGATTAGAAACAGAGATATATAGAAGCAACTATAGGATAATATAGTGCTTCAAATGTCAACACTATAGATACTTAGTAGCTAAGTGCATAAAGACAACTAACACTTGCTCCTATTGTATAGGGGATTACTAGGTTAAAGAATGCAAAGTATATAAGGGAGAAGTAAGATATATATACTGCACTAAAAGACACCCCTCTTAGGCGAAGGAATACCCGGTAAGAATATAGGCAGCTAGGAAGGTAAAGGAAGCTAGAATTAATATACTAAAAAGATACATAACAAGCTAGGGCAGCTAGGTACAGAAGCAACCTAGCTAAGTACTATAAAAGAGGTCTAGGCAAGATAATAGGTTCACATTTAGGGCCTTACTAGCACAAGAGAGTTACTAGCAACTAGGGAGACTAAGATACCTTAATATTATAGGAAAGGAAGTAGGGTAGACAAAGCTTAGTTAAATGTTAGTCTAAAGTAAGGGAAGACTAAAGGAAAACTTATAGGGAAATAATATAGATGAAACCTAATAAACATTGCAACATTACTAAACATTATATAGTACAATGTTAATAAGAGTAAAGATAAGGTATAGAGGAGCTTCCTTCAAGCACTAAACCTAAAAGAATATTACATTATTGCAATCTAAGAGCCCTAGCTTAACCTATATACAAAGAGACTAGTAATAGTTAAAGACCTAAGATACTACCTAATTATCTACAACTAGGGAGCCCTAAGGATATACATCTATATTAGCAAGGAGATAGATATAGAAACCTAGCAGGCTATACTATAGGAGGATAGGGACCTAATATTAGTTCAAGTAGAGACATCTTAAGGTATACTCTAAGTCTACTATATATACAACCTACTACTAGACTTGAGAAGCAGTACCTAACTGAAAACCCTAGAAAGACTACCTAGAGTTATCTAGGGGAACACCTACTAAATCCTACTTAGGGATTTTAACCTCTACTACCCCCTCTAGGGCTTAGACTTTACCCTAGCTTACTACTTCCTAGTAGGAAGACTAATTGATGTATTAGAGAGGGAAGGAACAGAAATTGTTACCCTAAAGGGACTAATCACTTAGGAGGCAAGAGGAAGCAGTAGCACACTAGACCTATACTTTGTATTATATTAGATTAGGAACAGGATTACAAGATGCAGGGTTAACTAGGAACTAGAAGAATTGTTAGACTACTTCCCGGTATAGATTAAGCTAAATGTCTAAGCTAATTAGGAAAGGGAACTAGAGGAGAAGCTTAACTAGAAAGGTACTAAATAGGACAGGATTAGGGAGGAACTAGAAAGGGACCTAAAACTAGAGGAACTCTTAATAAAGTACCTACTAAGGCTAGAGGACATTAACAAGGCAGTAGAAGAACTAATAGGAATCCTAAAACAAGTAGCTAGAAAGCATACCCTAGCAAAGAAACATTCACTATACTAGTAACTATACTAGACTAGTAAGTGTATAAGGAAGGTTAAAGTAGCAAGGAAGGCTAGGAGGCTACAGACACAAACCTATATCTAGGAAGCATAGGATAACCACAACAAAGCCTGCTAGGAAAAGAAGATCTAGATTAAGAAAGATAAGATACAAGAATAGAGATCTATAATAGGAATGATTACAAAGAAACTAGAGGAGATATAGAGGATAGCTAAATAGGCAAGGAGGCCTAAATAGGAAAAGAATATGCTACTATAATTCCTAGACATTATAGACTAATAAGGACAAATGTAGACTACAATAGAAGGGAAAGTAAGAGCCCTAGGCTAACACTTCTTCTATAGAAAAGTATAAGCAGACCTATTAGATATAAAGGAGGAAGAACAAGAGACTCTACTACTAGGTATACTAAGAGATACCTAGGTTAAACCCGAAACTATTAAAAGGATCCTAAAGAAAATTCTAGGTAATAAGGCACTAGGAGAAGACAAGGTCTATAACAAACTTCTAAAAGTATGTAGGAAGGGGCTAGCCCTAGCACTAGCTAATATCTTTTTATAAAGCCTAGTACTAGGATACTACCTAAGACTATTTAGGAAGTCCCTAACAGTAGTGCTAAGGAAGCCTTAGAAGGAAGACTATATATAGCTTAAGGCCTATAGACTAATAGCCCTACTTAATACAATAGGTAAGGTGCTAGAGAAAATTGTCGCTAAAAGGCTAACAACCTTTGCTGAGGAAAGGAATATCCTTCCTAAAGGCTAGATAGGAGGAAGAAAGAAGAGGTCAATACTAACAGCTATAGAACTAATTATAGAACAGATTAAGCATATCTGGCACTATAGTTAAAACTAGGTAGCAACCCTCCTCTCCCTTAACATCTTAGGAGCCTTTAATAATGTCTCCTATAAAAGACTCCTATATATACTTAAACAGAAAGCTATACTAAACTAGATAGTCCAATTTATCTAGTCCTTCCTATAGGAAAGATCGATATAGCTTATTCTAGGCAAATTCAAATTAGACCTAATACTAACTAAAAAGGGAATCCCTTAAGGATTAACACTCTCCCTAATCCTCTTCCTTATCTTTATAGCAGACCTACTCCTACTCCTAGAATTAAAAAACATATTAGCATTAGGGTTTGTAGATAATACAAACATCCTAGCCTAGTCTAGGACAATAGAAACCAACTGTAAGATCCTAGAAGAGAAGCACTAGGAGTATAAAAAATAGGCAAAGAGGTATAGAGCAAAATTCGCCCTAGAAAAGTACTAGCTTATCTACTTTAGTAAGGCTAAATTAACCTATAATATAAAGCAATCAATTACTATCTAAGGCTTTGAAACCTAACTATTAGCAGAGCTTAGGGTACTAGGGATCTAGCTAGATCTAAAACTGAATTAGGGACTATAAGTAAAGAAGGTAAAGTAGAGGGTAGATGCAAATATATAATCTATTAATAGACTTATAGCCTCTATATAGGGGGCTATATTCGAGAAAGCTAAAGTTATATACAAAGCAATTATTAAGCTAGCAATGCTATATAGAGCATAGATATAGACAGCCTAGGAGAAAACACTAAAGAGGATTAAGCAACTAGTTAGCAGGTCCTAAACCTAGAGCCTAAAGAAAATCCTAGGAGCATATAAAACTATACTAATAAGGGTAGTAGAAATGGAATTAGGGATCCTACTAGTTAAACAATACTTTAAGGGACTAAGACACTAATATGCGGCAAAGATAATAGAATACCTAGTCTAATAGACTATCTAAAAGGCACTAGATAAGATAAAAGCCTAGTATATTAGGACTAGGAGGCGAGACAGACTATAAATGACTCCCTAGAAAGTCAAAGACCTAGAGCAATATAGAGTCTTAATAAGAGAAATACTAGAGAAAGAGCTTTAGGGACTAAATATAAGGCTAAAGGAAGATAAGCTAAAGGGAGAGAAACAAAGCCTAGTAGAGTTAATTGCTAGATACCTATAGGAGTAGGAATAGAACAAAATACAAGTTAGACTAGGAACCCTAAAGGCACTAATCAAATTTGGTCAATACAACTACTAGCTCTATAAGGACCTAAATAGGGCCGAGGCAAGCCTAGCTATCTAAATCAGATCTAAGTATATTAGACTTAGGTCTTATCTGTTTAGAAGAAACGTCCTAGGAATTGAAAGTAGAGCGTACTAATATAGCTACCAATCTTAGAACCCTAAGTATATACTACTAGTCTACCCTTAGTAGTTAGAAGGCAGAAGTAATTAGAGACTAAAAGCAATAGAAAGGGAATACGACAAGCTAATCTAGAGTAAAGAAGACCTAAAGAGAATAGTAAAGTAGATTATTAAACAGGGATTTATATAACAATTCGCACTAGCAAGGGAAACTAAGGAGTAGATAAGAAGGAGGGAAGAAGAGGGGGAAAGAAGGGTAGGGTAGTAGGCAAGGTAGTTAGAGGGTAACAACTATAATACTAGTATACCCTAAAGGAAGGAAAACAAGGAAACGAGGAAGATTAATACTTATAAATAGGATAGGAGGGAGGTTTTTACTAACTAAGTTAGTTTCCTACCTAAAACAATATATAGAAACAGACCTGCATAGGCCGAAAGGCACTACAATAGGCAAATGAAATATCTATCTATCTATCTATCTATATAACTTCTTAGTAGAAGAAGGATTTTTATACTATATTTTAGACTATAGAATAGAGAGAATATAGGCGATTAACGAAGCTATATTAAACCGCTAGCAAGGCAGTATTACGTAAGTAATCCACTGCGCTATACGTAATAGGCTTGCGCCGATCTAGTATCTCTAATCCCAAACTTGATCCTCACGGATGCAGCGGCAAACACCGTTGTCGGGACGAAAGGAGTTCTCGGGCCAGGCAATTCTGGCATCTCTTCAGCCACCATCTCAGTGCGACCCATCGTCTCTACTGTCCGCTAGCATCTGCCGTATGCTATTCCAGCTTTCATCGCAGCTGTCATGCTCCTTCTCATTGTGCTAGGCGCAGTAGCATCAGCTATCTTCCCTTGCAATGGCTTGGGTGGCTTTCAGCGATTGAAGCACCATATCCAAGGTCTCCAACCTGGAAGGATCTACTCGATGCTTATTGAACTGGGTCATGTGGGACCGAAAGTTTCTGCGAAAGACTGGATCCATCAGTTTGGCGAAAGCATGATTTCAATCGGTGAGCATCATGCTGTTGGGGATCGTTATGCTACCTCGAGTCCTCTGCCGAACAAGGAATCGCTTGAAAGTACAAGGCTGCGTCATGGGGACGATGACATATCATTGAGTCGATTGGTTTCGCGATGGCATCTCACATATCGAGTTTATGCCAGTACCTATAACTGAGGCAGGATGTACCCAACACTTGCTCTTCTCCGTTCGTTCAATCCGTCTCTTCACTCCATGCTCTTCGTCATCGCTTTGCAGGCATGCATGCACGCTCACCGCCAAGCTTTCAAATCCTTTCAAATTGCGACTGTGACTTCTGCCCCTTGTGTCCAACACTCCTCCTCAGCAGTCCCGGCGCGATAGATTTTGCACTCAGCAGTGTACCAGCACTGTCTTCTTCCCATCTGCAGATGGCAGAAACCTTGATCGACCGCTATTCCGCACCGATGGCCTCGACTGTTTCTGTACTTCGAGTCGGCGTCGGCGTGGCGCATGGGCTACGACAATCGAGCGACTCATAGAAATGCATCGCGCTCGGTGCTTGGATTGTTGGGTTCTTCTCCGACCGAAGGCAGCGAAATTAAGAGCAGAGTCAGGCGGTGATGGCTGTCCGAAGAGCTGTCATGTGAAAATAAGCACGGCTCGGCGCGAGCTTGAAAGGACATGGTCCAATCATGATTTCAGTCCGTAAAGAAAGCCAGTTGGTTAGAGGGCACAAACTCGGCATGTGAACAGTGGTAGCACAGGTCTTGAGATGTTTCGTCAAACGGCAGACGGATTGTCGTGGAGAATGGGTCTGCCCAGGGTGGGTTGGTAGATGGTCGCTATCGTGTTCGGCCGTCTCTGCGTTCCTGTATTACCACTATTCACATGCGCAAGGCAAGGCAACGACATTGTCGGTGTTTTCATATGACTTCAGTGTCCGCGTTGGGATGGAACCGAGGTACGCAAAACAAAACAGAGCCTCCAAATGGACAGAATGTGATGATTGCGGGGCCCCGCGCTCACATTCTTGGGAGCGATCGTCATCATCAAAGAGGTCGATTTGTACTTCTCAAGCCACGGGAGCCGCCGAGACTTGGACTGCCGATGCTTGGCCCGATGTCATTGATATCAAAGTCTTAAGAGGCGTCGTCCCTCTGTCCAATATACGACAACCCTGATGTGAGTGTACAGCAACATGACTTCCCTTCCACCATCGGCGGTGCTGGTACTAGCGTCAGCAGTCGAGTCTGCTGTCGCTGTAGCCCTCTTTCCACAACACCTTCCGGAGCACCCGCTTCTTTATATTTTCGTACGCCTGCTTGGCGTTCAGACGGTAGCATATGCCATCTACTCGATCTTTATATGGCCATTCTTCCTCTCACCGTTGAGGCATTTACCAGGCCCGAAGGTGAGTCTAATGCCCTCATTCTCCTAGAAGCATCCAAATTGACCTTCTGCAGAGCCGGAACCCAATCATCGGCCATGGCATGACCATGTTCGAAAAGCCAGCCGGCGCAAGCTTCTTGACGTGGCTAAAGACCATCCCAAACGACGGCCTCATTCATTTCCGCGCGTTCCTCAATGCCGATCGCGTTCTGGTCGCCGACCCAAAAGCTCTGCAGGAGATACTAGTCACGAAAGCGTACGAGTTTGAGAAGCCAGAACCCTTGCGCAACTTTCTTCGTTTCGTGCTGGGAGATGGTTTGATCATTGTCGAGGGCGACAGTCACAAGTTCTTGCGCAAGAATCTTATGCCCGTCTTCAGCTTTCGGCATATCAAGGAATTGTATCCCATCTTCTGGAGCAAGTCTACTCAAATGATCGATGGGATCGCTCAGCAGGTTAGGGAGTCTGCCGGACCTGGTGAAAGCAAGACTTCCGTTGTTGAAATCAATCACTGGGCTACCAAAGTCACTGTCGATATCATCGGTCTGGCTGCAATGGGTCGCGACTTCCAAGCCTTGAAGAACAGTGATGATCCTCTCATTCAGGTCTACGAAGAACTCCTCGAGCCGACTATGGAGAAACAGGTCTACTTCGTATCGCAAATCCTTGGACCCGCGAAGCTCATTCGAAAGCTGCCCTTGAAGCTTAATGAGCGTTCTGAGGTCATCGTGAGGACACTGACGGACATCTGCTTGAAGCTTGTGCGTGAAAAGAAGGAGTTGATCAAGACCGAACCTGCCGACCACAAGGACATTCTGTCTCTCTGCATTCGCTCAAACAACTTCTCGGACGAACAGCTCGTCGACCAGCTTCTGACATTCCTAGCAGCCGGCCACGAGACTACCTCCTCCGCTTTAACATGGACCTGCTACTTGCTAGCCAAGCACCCCGAGATCCAAACCGCTCTCCGAGAAGAGATCCACAGAACCATTCCATCGCCAAACCAGCCACCTCCATCCGACACAGATCTTGCACAAATCTTCGAGTCCGCACCACTCTTGAACGGCGTCTGCAATGAATCTATCCGATTATACCCAACCGTCCCCATCACCGTCCGCATCAACCCAAAACCTACCACTCTGGCCGGACACGTTATTCCCAAGAACACCCAATTCCTCCTCTCACCCTGGGCCATCAACCGCAATCCCGCATACTGGGGCGCAGACGCTGACGAGTTTACGCCGTATCGCTGGATCGATACGGATGAGAAAACTGGCGAGAAGCGGCCCAACAATTCCGGTGGTGCGCCGAGCAATTATGCGATTTTGACCTTCTTGCATGGCCCACGAAGCTGTATTGGACAGGGCTTTGCGAAGGCGGAGTTGAGATGTTTGGTTGCTGCTATTGTGGGCAGTTTTGAGATGACGCTGGCGAATCCCGAGGAGAAGGTCGTGCCGCATGGTGTTGTTACTACGAAGCCGAAGAATGGGATGCATTTGGTTTTGAAACCGCTTGGACCGTGGTAGATGGAGAATTTGCGGCTATGAGTCTTGTTAGATACCCAGGAAGCTTTTACTGTACATCGGAATTTTTCGCTTCGAAATTTTTAGAGCAGTTCTTCAGATCTAGATATACATATTTTCTACAGTGTCCATGTCATCAAAGCTCTCCAGAAGCATCGACTCAAGTCAAGTTTGACTCGGGCGCACACATGCTCTTGCTGGCTGAAGCAGACAGACCATAAATATCTTTCCCAAATCCCCTCTTCTCGACAATCAGTCGTGGCTCGATGGCGTAGCGGTCTATAAGTCATCATGGCTCTTCATGATGCTTGACGGCGGAAACCGGCGAAGTTCTCCGTCGTGGGCTCAAGAACAACGGGATCTTGAGCGGCACGATGTTTATCTTCGCGGCTCGCGTTGAGCTGCGGGCGATTGTTTTTTGCTCTTGCTCCGGCCTTAGATCTAACGTCGAGTTGTTGTCTAATGCTGCAAGGTGGTCAAAATCGTAGACTGATGCTTGGTGGTAGGTAGGTTTCGAAGGGGTGGTAAGATGTGGTGAGAATTATAGAGAGTATGAAAGAGGTGATTGAGGAAGCAAATTATCTATACTGTTCGAGTGCGTTGATATGATTCTTGGTCCTGTTGGTGTGATGATCGTTTTTTTTCGAAGGGGCGGAGCTTAGGAGCTTGGGAGGTGAGGTCACGATTGCTTGGCGAAGCGAGAGCGCAAACTTCATCTCCGTCCACCATTATTATTCGACGGAACATGAAACTACGATCACTCTCTGACGTCTACGCATCCCCAGTATGTGAGCGACCGGCACGCATCAATCAGATTTACGCAACCTGAATCTTCTTTTCCATCCCATCACACATCTTGGAACAAGTCGAACGAAAGCAGTACACCCACGTTGCTCGATTCAGTACTGTTAGCCCCATGTTGACATCAGCATGTCTCCTGCGCCAATATGGCTTCACGCACGAGTACGAGTAGCAGTAAGGTCCGGGTTTAGGTGCTCTGCTTGAAAGAGCGAAGTATGAATAGGCATACAATGCAGCGGATAAGATCATGTCGTGGAGGGTGTCGGTGACAAGAATGCTCGGGATGATACCACTCACTTCTACGAGCCTCGTCCCTTCGCTGCTTCAGAGTCTTCCAAATGCATCTTGAAATCTTTGTCACCCAGCCGGAATTATAGGTGCTTTCTCCGGGTTGCAAGAGCGGTATCATCCCCTCTTTATCGGCATTGGACGGCGGCACGATGCTGTCTTCAGGACCCTTTCGCTTCGCGCGTCATTCGGTTGAGGGAGATGTGTCAGACCTGTTGACCACGCTGCCATTCGCCTACGTTCTGCGAGGCACGATGCTGTCTTCAGGAGCTTTCGTCTGGACAGGAGGCATGCGCCACATCTGCAGGCTTGTCATTGACCTGGTCCTACTTTGTCCCATAGCCGGCATTCGCTCGACCAACCTGAGGCCGTCATTTTTAACGAGCCGCGCGACTCTCCTCGGGCCCATATGCACTGCTCATACTTGCCGCAAACTGCCAAGCGGATTGTGTCGAATACATGCTGGGAGCTCGACCCGCACGTGTTCTCCTCGGTGCCTTGAGAATAGATGGTCATGCTCGCGCCGTCTTAGCTATTTGGAATCTCCTCGACAGATCTTTCTGATTAGGCCTGCCCGTACTGGTTGTATTGCCCTAGATGGCCATCGAAGACGGGAGCACAACTAGGACAGCAATCTCAATACGGCTCTTGTGACATCCAGGGCATGGCGTGTTGCATCACATCAGCCATTCTCCATGCGATGTCTCGACATCGTGGGCTGGGAGCAATGCGGGTAAGGGATCGATTGATGCCGATGCGTCCGCAACTTCGACCATGATATGGGGGCAGCTCGACGATTGACGGAGTTCCCACGCGGGGCTGGATTGCCATATTCTATCTTATACGGGGACAAGTCTTGCCATCACAAGGCCTGTAGCTGATGAAACACAGCTCGTGTCTATAGTAGCCACTGCGAATCAGTCCAAATCCGGAAGTGCAGCCAAGGACCGGACTCGGTGTAGATTTGCTGTCGCTCCGTCCGCCTTAGTTATGAACGCGTTCTTGGTTGTTTTCCTTGTTTATCTACCTCGCTGTCGCCTGTTTTTATCGACCTTGCTGTCGCCGCTATCGATTTAGGATCCGCTGCTCTTGCTTTCTATTAAAATAGCTGACCTTATAAGCATTGATGCCCTTGCCGCTCTTTAGGAGTTTAATGCTACGCATACTACACCGCCGCCACCACTACTACCACTACTACTACCACTACCACCGCCGGCGGAATTTACGCGTCTTCCGCCGTAGGCGATAGCGCGCGTCGAAGTGGACGAGTTATTAGACGAAGAGCAGTCCGCGGATAAGGAGAATGGCGGCGAGGCGCCTCGTAGGCGTAGATCTACGCGTAGAAGGCGTGTCGAAGTTATTCAAGGTATCTACGCTATACTCGACGCGCCTAACGACCTCCTACGCTAGCGCTAAGCGATAATTGAATTGCCTACCGAGCTAATATTTACGATCGACGCGTAGCGCTAATTAATGCCGTATTAGTCTAACTTTTAGTATCGTAAGGATAGTCGGCGCGAGCTATCGACGGAGTTATTAGTAGAGTTTTAGACGTATCGGAATAGTAGCGGAAAGCAGCGTACGACGAAGGGATATAGCAAGAAGCCGGTACCGAAGAAGATTGCGAAGGCGCGTAGTTGTTAGGTAACGATAAAGGTAGTGTTTATCGAGTAAGTTAGAGAGCGAGGGGACCTAGAAGTTATTAGTATTAAGGTGCGCCGCAATAACGCCGCTTAGTACACTAATTACTATACTATGCGGCGATTTGACCTATAGAAGCGATACGACGCTTTAATAAAGGCGGTTAGACTATAGGTATATAAAGGATACAAACTAAGCGTAGTATATAATACTATTACCGCACGATACGACCCTAGAGCCCGCGAAGTCTTCCTCGCCGCTAGCGGCGCGTATTTAACTAGGAAATGTTACAATAACGCTAGCAAGGCTTTCCGCGAGGTATATTAAGATACGAGGCTTAGTAGACAGGTTAGTATATAGCAGGACTAGCAAGAAGAGCTGTTGTTATAGCTAAGAGAAAGTAAGTCGATAGGATAAAGTAGATAAGATAAGGTTAGAATTAGTATTACGGGCCGCTCGGTTACGCTCGCCGTATTCCGAGTAGCTAATTAGATCTACGGATTCTTTCTCGAATTCGTCTCGAATTCGAGAGCTATCTAGGCGACTGAATTCTTTAGGTCTCCGCTATTCGGTTAGCAAAAAAACTAAAGCTCGGAGTTCCTAGAATTCTCGGATAAAGCCGCTTACCCCGCATAATTATTGAATTAGCTAATCAATTCTAATAATCCGAGGCGGGCCGGGCTTCTAGCGCGGCTTAGCGAGGAACACCGAACCTCCGACTTGTTTATATTTTAGAAACTAAAACAAAACAGCTAATTCTTCTTTTCTAGACAACTTCTACGCCGCTAACGTATTAGTAATACGCGCCGTCGACAAGAAGCGAATATATGCGATAGTTTGGGTCTATAAAGACCGACTCGCGCTACTCGTATAGCGTAGATAGCTCTTACTAATAGACGCGACTTATAAAACTAACTACCTTAGCTAGTTCTTGTATACTATAATAGTACGCGACGAGAACGGCCTCTAGCGACCTGTTGCGCACTTTCTAAGTGTTACTAATAATAGCGATATCGTATTAGCGTGCCTTAAACAGATTATCCGATAGTCTAGCGGCCGCCGTAGTTATAGACTACGATTCTTCCTTACTAACGACTTAGCAGCCGAGAGACGCGCTATTCGATTAATATAGCCTCTAGCATTGCCGGCGGACGAGAACACCGCGGAAACAGCTATAGAAGCTACTAAAATCGAGGACTCCGAGTCCGACGACGATAACTTCGAACCTCCGTATCAAACCGACTATCTCCTCTGCTACGTTTACCTCCTACGATCTATTAAGCGCTACTTTAGCGGTAAATCAGCTAAGAAGGTACGCTATTACCTCTATTCTACCGTCAAATTCAGGCGCTCCGTCGCTAGTTGTATAGATAGCCTACAAAGCGCTATTCTAAGCCTTCTAAAGGACTATAAGTTTAACGAGAGGTTAGAATATATTACGAAGGAGCTAAAGGATAACATTCGCTACTAGGCGCTCTATTATCGTATAGACTCTGCTATTCTTATGCAGGTAAAGGATACTAATGCCCTCGAAGGTTATTACAACAAATACAAGTACAAGAACAAGGCGCAAATGGCTAGCGAATACACCCTCTATAGTACGGCAATGTACGTAGAGGTAAAGGACTGCAAATACGACTAACGCTTACTTAATTATACTAAGAGTAAGGACAGCAAACTTCACCCTCTCGCTACTAGCGACAACGAGCTATTAAAGCGTTAGTTGCTAGAGTTTCTATAGCGGTTATAATAGCTAATTAGTAAGCAATACTAGAAGGGCACTTAACCTAACTTTGTCGCAGCGCGCTTACTTAGTAACGAGACAACGTGCGAGTATAGATTCTATCTACAATACTAAGTCGCCTGCGCTAACCTATAGTACTACTATTTCTAACTCGGTTAGAATGTAATCTAAGACTACGACTTTTAGCACTAGCTATTTATGTTTAAAGACGCTAAATACGATAACGGCGGCGGCTTCTTAATCTATAACCGAGCAACGACTTCCTACGCTATTAAAGAGCTCTACGACGATATTAGTGCGCCGAGCGCACCTAACTTCTTATACTGCGAGCGCGTACGCGAGTATAGCGACGACATCCGCCGCTAGATATATGCTATTAAACAGCGCTACGCCGACAACTAGGTACTATTTAAAGACCGACAACGAGACTAGAAGCGCTTTATTAAGCGACTTAACGATATAAGTAGACCTTAACGCGCTAAAGCCGCGCGCCTCGCTATAGAAGATTACTTCGGCCTCGAATTGCTACTAAATACGCCTCCTCCGTAACTATCGTAATAGCCGCTGCCTACCGGGGTACTATTAAGTTAATACTGCGTTAATCTTAGCCAAATCGCTAGTCTATCGACTAAGAAGTCCCGCAAAGGTAAGAGTAAGGCGATAGTTAAAGAGGAAGGGTTATATAGTAAGGTTCGCGAGGTAGGTATAGAAGAGGCGACGGCGGAGGTAACAGATACCTTAGCGACTACCTTAAGAGCGCTAGCGGCCTTAGAGATCGAGTCTGCTATACTAGCTGCTATATAACCGGCGATGCCGGAGGCGTAGGTCGCTCTATAGCGTAATCCGTACGAGCCTCCGCTCTCTACGTAGGTAGGCGCGGCAATAGGTCTACCTCTACGGCCTTTACAATCTATCTCCTTTAATATAACTACCTCTTACGACTTTGCCTCTGCCTCTACCTTAGGCAAGCGGAAGGCGCCGGCGACGGTAAGGTCTAGCAAGAAGCGTAAATAAGTCTATATATCTATCTACTGCAATATGAACTAACAATACCTAACTTTAGTCTATACCGCTATTTCTACGCTATCTCTTTAGCTTTATTTTTGGCGACAGTAAGGTCTAATACTACCCCTACCCTACGCGACGCGACAACATTACGTAGATTACGGTTTTGCTAGGGGTTAGTAGTAGAAACGGATTCTTAGTATGCGCCGACCTCCGATCCGATAGAAGCCGTAGTAGCTACTATAGACGTATCCGAAACACAAGCGGCTTATCGAATACGGTAGTCTACTATAAAGCCGTAAAGCATAAGTTCGCAAGCTAACCGATATGCCTTACGCTAGAGGCTAGTTGCCTTTTTCGGGCCTAAGAACCTAGACATACAACTCCTAAGAGTCGGCAATAATATTTGAACCTCGCGGCCGATTACAATTAAGGAGATTACTCATCGAGAAACGTAGCAGCGGCTATAAGCGATACATTAGCAGTTCTTAACCGAATAACAAGAGAAAAGCGATAGATAACAAAACGCGTCTTCGCGCTAGTTTCTAACTTTCTGTATAGTTCTATAGCAATTTAATAGAGCAGTTGCGCTACCTATACTCGGTAGATTGGCGCTTCCTAAGGGCCTAAATATAACACTATGCTAGCGGCCGTGCGCTAGAGTAGGTCGTGCCTATGCTTTCGGAGTCGGTAAGATCTTAGTATCCGCTCTATAGTATACGTAACTATAGAAACCGTAATTTCTGTACTATAGCGCGTCGCGATTACTTCTAGTATCTTTAAGATAATAGCCTCGCGCTTCTCGTTAGTCTTATTAAGACCTTCCCTATTATATAAGCGCTCGAGTTAAAAGATTAGTTTAGAGGCGTTATAAGGGATGTTATATATATTAAGTTAGTAGATAGATATACTAGACGCGCCGATTGCGACGTCCTTACCTTACGCTTCTACTAATCTAGTAATATCTTTTTTATAGACCTCGAAGGCGCGTTTAGTAAATATATTTACCTACGACTACTAGTATTAATCCTTAATAATAACGCGTCTAAGTATAATATAGTAGTACTAAAGTATTAAACTACTATACTAGCGCGCCCGTTTACTAGTATTATATAGCGATAAAAGATCGAAAGTATCTATACTTACTAAGCGTAGATCTCGGGCGTACCTATAGGCTATAGGCTAGCTACGTACTTAGCGCTAAGTCTCCTCGGCTTCCGCCTTATATAGAGATTAGCGTAAGTTATATAATACTAGCGGAAGAATTTATAGTTATAAATAGACGCGCCTTCCTTACTCGCTATCTATAATAGCTGTAAATTATAGTATACTAGTTTATCGTTTATAAGATTAATCTAAGTACTAATCTTACGCTAAATAGACTATAGTAGGTATAGAAGCTAGGTATAGAGCTCTTCGTTATTACTACGCGTAAGTAGATATATACCTAAAGCCTACTATTATAAAGTAATCTCCGACCGAAGGTCCCTAAGCTAACCTCTTTATATACTCTATATTGCTACCTAGTTAAGTATAAAGTCCGCCGCTACTAGCGACTTATTACGATCTATTTTAAGATATACGTAGAAGCTCTAGTTTATATTTATATCTTTATATTAGCTAACGATAGTAGGTACGTTATAGACGCGATTATAACTAGCCTATAGCTAAGTATTACTACTAAAGTTACGCTCTAAGTAGGTCTTATTAGACTCGTAATCGGCGTTCTTTATA